CTGCAACATGGAGAACAAAGCAGCACCCATGAGTCGTGGACACAGCTGGCACCTGACGGTGAGAGAAGCTGGCTACGACGCCCCGTGTGTATATAAACCAAATGTAAATGTGATTATTATCGTGTTATTACGTGTATCAAGGCGCCCTCGACGCTCCAAGTTGGTTGGCCACCAGTCCTTCCCTCTGACCTATCCCAGCTCCTCGTCCTCACCCCCCCAGCACCTCCTTACCTTGAGGTTACCTGGAGGTGCTTCCGGGGCTTAGCGTCCCCGCGGCCCGGTCGTCGACCAGGCCTCCTGGTTACCTCGTCCTCATATTCTCCCCAAGTGTTAGGTAGTCGTACTGGCTATATAAAGCTTTCTCCTGCAAAATACCTCACCTCACTATGCAACACTAACTAGAGTTTGCAAGAACATGTTAAACACTGAACGTAGCCAAACTGATATTCGGGGGATCCATAAGGCGTTACACAGTTACAGCACCGCTCCTGTGCCAGGTAAGTCCACTACGGGCTCACCATAGCCTGTGCTACTTGCAACTTTTTGTTCCCAGTAGCTGAATCTTAAACAACAAACCCAACCAAACTGTTACACAACACTGCCATTAGACCTATAGTGCTTTTGTTCGATCTCAGTTTATCCCATATATTTTATGATAATTTGTATTTAAAAATATACATGAGAACATAATACAGTGGTTAGTTAGACGTTACAGAAAATTTGTATTAAATAAAGCCACATTTCAGTGATACATAATTGCATACAGAGTCGACTAATCCGTTAAAAATGCAACTTATCAGTACTGATTAAAGCATGACTGAGACGTTTTCTATGCAGCAGTCTCCGTGGACTAAATTGCCCGTCATCCTAATACAACGTCGTATTTTGACGTATACTCTTACCTAAAGCCCAAAATCGTCGTACTAGAAAATGGTAGCGTTTCGCGAAATTGATATACTGTCCCGTTTTCTGTTTTGGGTCCTCTGGTAGGTTAGGATAAGGGGGCACTTTAGTACGACAGTTTCTTGACGTTGGGGTAACTTCAGGAGGACGGCATGGAATTGCCCTAGTTAGGCAAAATATGAACATTTTTGCCGCTGTGGCTAATGAGGAGACTGTCTCAGTGGTCACTACAACAAGGAATCCAATCTACTTTTATCTGTAGCTTTCTTGTGAGGCCAGGAGGAGGAAGCTACACGAGAGCAGTTGGTGCAGGCCGCCCCCCTGCCCCCCGTGTGGTGCAGGCCGCCCCCCTGCCTCCCGTGTGGTGCAGGCCGCCCCCCTGCCTCCCGTGTGGTGCAGGCCGCCCCCCTGCCTCCCGTGTGGTGCAGGCCGCCCCCTGCCTCCCGTGTGGTGCAGGCCGCCCCCCTGCCTCCCGTGTGGTGCAGGCCGCCCCCCTGCCTCCCGTGTGGTGCAGGCCGCCCCCCTGCCTCCCGTGTGGTGCAGGCCGCCCCCCTGCCTCCCGTGTGGTGCAGGCCGCTCCCCTGCCTCCCGTGTGGTGCAGGCCGCCCCCCTGCCTCCCGTGTGGTGCAGGCCGCCCCCCTGCCTCCCGTGTGGTGCAGGCCGCGCCCCTGCCTCCCGTGTGGTGCAGGCCGCCCCCCTGCCTCCCGTGTGGTGCAGGCCGCTCCCCTGCCTCCCGTGTGGTGCAGGCCGCCCCCCTGCCTCCCGTGTGGTGCAGGCCGCTCCCCTGCCTCCCGTGTGGTGCAGGCCGCCCCCCTGACCCCCGTGTGGTGCAGGCCGCCCCCCTGCCCCCCGTGTGGTGCAGGCCGCCCCCCTGCCCCCCGTGTAGAGCAAGCAGGCCGCCCCCCTGCCTCCCGTGTGGTGCAGGCCGCCCCCCTGCCTCCCGTGTGGTGCAGGCCGCCCCCCTGCCTCCCATGTGGTGCAGGCCGCCCCCCTGCCTCCCGTGTGGTGCAGGCCGCCCCCCTGCCTCCCGTGTGGTGCAGGCCGCTCCCCTGCCTCCCGTGTGGTGCAGGCTGCCTCCCGTGTGGTGCAGGCCGCCCCCCTGCCCCCCGTGTAGAGCAAGCAGGCCGCCCCCCTGCCCCCGTGTGGTGCAGGCCGCCCCCCTGCCTCCCGTGTGGTGCAGGCCGCCCCCCCTGCCTCCCGTGTGGTGCAGGCCGCCCCCCTGCCTCCCGTGTGGTGCAGGCCGCCCCCCTGCCTCCCGTGTGGTGCAGGCCGCCCCCTGCCTCCCGTGTAGAGCAAGCAGGCCGCCCCCCTGCCTCCCGTGTGGTGCAGGCCGCCCCCCTGCCCCCCGTGTAGAGCAAGCAGGCCGCCCCCCTGCCTCCCGTGTGGTGCAGGCCGCCCCCCTGCCTCCCGTGTGGTGCAGGCCGCCCCCCTGCCTCCCGTGTGGTGCAGGCCGCCCCCTTGCCTCCCGTGTGGTGCAGGCCGCCCCCCTGCCTCCCGTGTGGTGCAGGCCGCCCCCCTGCCTCCCGTGTGGTGCAGGCCGCCCCCTGCCTCCCGTGTGGTGCAGGCCGCCCCCCCTGCCTCCCGTGTGGTGCAGGCCGCCCCCCTGCCTCCCGTGTGGTGCAGGCCGCTCCCCTGCCCCCCGTGTGGTGCTGCCGCCCCCCTGCCTCCCGTGCGGTGCAGGCCGCCCCCCTGCCTCCCGTGTGGTGCAGGCCGCCCCCCTGCCCCCCGTGTGGTGCAGGCCGCTCCCCTGCCTCCCGTGTGGTGCAGGCCGCTCCCCTGCCTCCCGTGTGGTGCAGGCCGCCCCCCTGCCCCCCGTGTGGTGCAGGCCGCCCCCTGCCTCCCGTGTGGTGCAGGCCGCCCCCCTGCCTCCCGTGTGGTGCAGGCCGCCCCCCTGCCCCCGTGTAGAGCAAGCCCTGCCCAGCCATGCATCACACTAACAAGGACATTCGGCCACCTCCCCCGCCGACCATTCACACTCGAGTAGGGGTGGGATGTACCTCCTCTTATCAGCCCCCAGATGACCCACTTACTCGAAATTTCTGCTGATAAAATGTTGTGCTCGTCACCAGAGGTCCCGTGAGCCATGACTCCGTAGGGTCGACATTCGTGAACGTGTTTGTCAATTTTTACCCGGCCAGCCATGCTTGAAGGGGCTTCAGGCGGGTTACGTCAAATTCCCATTAACCTTAATAATTACCAACAAAATCATACAGAAGAAGAATAAGAGCTGAAGGTGATAACGAAAGATGGTGTTTTAGGATTCAGCTACTCAAAACAAAAAGTTCCAAGTAGCACGGGCTATGGTGAGCCCGTAACAACGAAATGTGTTGTAAAGTCAATATGTAAGGTGACAATGTGAGGTGAAGTGAGAAGGTAAAACTCCTCTTACCGTCTCGCACTTCAGAAAGAAAGGAGTTAATAGCCATAACGAAAACTGGAGATGACCTAAAGAGAAACGGAGAAGAAAAGACAAATGGCAACAAAAGAGAAAGAAAACAAAGTCGCTGGTAAGATGATAGACAAAGACTTGGGATGTCAAGACAAAGTGAGGCAACACTGGACCAACGGAGATCGAACGCCGACCCTGCAAGAAGCGAGGGGTGCCGCTCTACCGACCAGTTAAAGTGCCTGGGTTAACAAATTATTAAAGAATCACACAACTTTGCTCAAATAAAGAGAAGGTGGAGATGAATACAAGCCTATAATTTAAAAAGACAAAAAACACTTTCAAGTGCAAACAATTAAACATTTACAAATTCAACGCTAACCCAAAGTGGCCCCAAGTCTGACCGCCGTCTTACAAAGTCTGCCTCCAGACCCTGGTGGCTCAGATAATCAATGACAGAGCACAGAAACGCTGCCACTTTCCAGCTCCAGATTGCAAGGGGCATCGCCGTCGTCCAGGGCTGTATCATTTATTACGGTGGCTTTGTGTTATCGTGGCTTAGTGCTATCGTGGCTTTGTGCAATCGTGGCTTTGTGTTATCGTGGGAGGCCGGCGTGATGTAGGCTCGGGAACCAGCGAGTGATCCTGCCGGTGGCAGCTCTCAGTGTTTGTAGGTCCTCTGATTTACATTCGCGACGGTTCTAACGGATGAATTTGATATCAGTAACTGGAGCCTTATTTACAGTCACTGACAAGCTTCCTTCACATATAATTTAATAAGTTACCGACATTTTAAATCTCCGGGTTCAGGGTTACTCCGGATTTAAGGTGTAGGACATAGTCCCATATCGGTCTTTAAACAAAGTGGATACTTCTAACACCGGCCAGACGAAATATATATATGGTAAACTATAAAGGTTTTAAGGTAACAAAAAAATTACTAAAACACTGTACAAAAAATTTACGTGAAATTCAGTTTTTCCCTTGCTCTAGGGCACCTCTTAGACGAGTCCAAACCATCGAAATCGGGGTCTGCATGTCCTTAGAGTTTTGTACACATTTGGGTTACATCTGCATTTGTGAAAAAAAATAATTAATATCCCTGAAAATTTACACATGCTCTTCAAATTCCGCATTTCTGAATGGTATAACACTTACTGCTTTACTACCGTCAACGCATTATATGAGGACCTGGTCACTGAAGTAACCGCTTTTTATGACAATGTTGTAAAATCCACAAGACCCAAACCAGTGAGGAAGGGACAGAGGTGGTTCACTGACTCACGCCTTATGCCCCTGCATGACAGAGTTCTATTCCTAGCTGAGCAGTATAAAACACATAAAACAGCTGACACCCTCAACATATTTCTTAAAGCCAGCCGAGAGTTTAGAGAGCTAAAGGAACAGGTGTATAACCAGCACTGGGAACAGTTTCTGCAAGGCATCAATCATGCAACATCCTCATCCCAAATGTGGAATAAAATTAAAAAGATTTCTCGTCCTAGTAGTCGTCAACTTGATCACCATTCACCTGTAGACTATGCCGACATGCTGCTTCAGCAATATGCAAGCACTGCTAGTATAAGCAGCCTGCCCCTAGATGTGCAAAACTATCTGGCTAGTACTAAAATAAATTGTAACTTCAATATTGAAATTGCCTGTAGTGAAATAGGGCCTGATGATAACTATGGCATAACCCCCTTTGAAATTA